ATTTGCCAATCGTGGATTTTGGTGGTGACAAGCCGTCAATAGACATTTACGAGTCACCGCTTGAAATGCCAGCGGAACTGCTGGAAAATCCCGTTGCGCAGTCTGACCCGGCGACTGCTCCATCTGACATTGTTTCAATACTTAATAACGATGACGAAGTAGATGATAGCGCAGAATGTCTTGTTGCATCTCAAGTTGTGAGCGAGACACAGACTACATCCTTTGCACCAGGCAGAAACTAAATGCGCCTCGTCGTTCAGGAAAAGGATATTGAGACGTTGGACAGTAAAATGTGGCTTAATGACGTGGTTATTACATACTACATTAGGGAGCACATTCCTGCGTACGGAAAAATTATGTTTTGGACGCGAATGTATTTGGAAATATATTTGCTGCGTTTAAGAAGATGGGTCGAAATATGTCGGAGGCTCACTCAACCATTTGTGCGATCACAGCTTCATTTCCTTACGATAAATATGACCAGCTCATCATCATAACAATTTGTATGGGATCACACTGGACGTTTGCAGTCATTCAAAATCTGGTTCTTGCTGTCAAACATCTAAAGTGTTGCATGGTTCACGTTGGCTCGTACGGTATTACAAATGTTGAAACTGTACAAAAGGTTTTGTGCGGCTACTTCGATGAAGAAATGAAGCTGAACTATCCTGACAAGAAGCCGGCTGAATTTAGCGTCCGTGGCGCTAACACATATCCGATGCAAAAACAATCCAACGACTGTGGTTTCTTCACAATCTACTTCATGAAACGAGTAGCAGATGAGTTTATGAAAGGGAATGAGCTTCGACTTTGTGATGTAGAGAAGATCTGCACGATTCCAAGATCGTCTCGCTTCAGCGCATCGTCGTTTAGAATAGAAATCAAAATGCTGCTGACTGAAGGTAACAAGGCAGTATCCTTTACAAACGTTTGAGCCTAAATCGATTCAATTTAAAAAGTAAGTGAGTTAAACTTGTGGAGCAGGTTAATGAAAAGCGTGCGCGCATCAAACAGGACAGTTCTCGCACTCGAGGGATCCGCAGAGGCCTGGTGCCGGCGCTTTGCACTGGAGGGGCCCAGGAGAGCGTGATGTGACGACACCCTAACCGACAGCCTGCCGGCCGCCCTGCCGGGCAAGCCTCAAGCTGACCCGCGCCGCTAACCGCATGCTGCCGCTCCTCTTTACCCGCCTGCTGACGCTCCTCACCTCCCGTCTACTGGCGCTCGCATCCAGCCGCTCTCCACCTCCCCCACGCCGCCACGCCGCCTCGCCGCCTCGCCGACACCTCTGCTCGCATGTGTGAAAATGAAGTGTATGACCGAGTGTGACCCACAGCACCTAATGTGTGGCCCACAACATAAGGTATAAATTAATATATTTGTTTGAACAGTTCAAATGATATGAGAA